GACATCAGCAGGATTCGTGCTTATGGAGAAGGCCTGACCAATGTCCGCATGCACCAGTCGTCTGCGTTTGAGGTGGACACTGGTGGACTGTATAGTTCCAAGATCACTGCTGATCTAAAAGGTGGGCTTAATTACTGATTAGTTAACTCAGTTGTAGCCTGTTATTTAAATCTCCCAGCTGCTTGTACGAAAATTGTAATATGTATAAGTATGCCTGTTTTTTTATTGATGTTCTTCATTGCTCTGTCTTAGCTCCAAGTGGACGCACCACCCCATGCCGTGTTACTGAAACAGCAAGAGGCCGATACAAAGTAGACGTTGTAGTCACAGAAGCAGGTATATATTGCAATTGTGTACTTGTGTGTTTGAGTGTAGGAGCATGTGCGCTATTACATTAGAATATCGTCTATATGCGCACTGTACATTTAAGCAAAATTTCTCTGTCCGTTTCGTACTTCAATCAATTGTACTGCTCTAATTTCTTTCAGGCACCAACTATTTGGACGTGAAATATGGAGATCGGCACATAACGGGCAGTCCCTTTGCAATCAAAGCTGCTGATCCAAGTCTAATCAGAGTTGACCTTGTGGACAGGATGAAGAAACTCGTTGGTGACCCAGTAGTTTTTAATGGTACGTTGAGCTAGAGCAATTATCACACGAAAAGTCATCGAAGGAAACTTAGCTGTGCACCAGCAGTGTGTTCTTGGTTAAAATGTCCTTGGTTTATTTTAAGCCAACCGTATCATCTGTAAGCATTTTATTTTTTGCCTCGAATTCATATCCGTATGCACAATGGCAACGATGTTTGTAAATAAAGTGTTGTGTTTTGTGCAAATGTTCTTTGAGTAAAAGATGCCATCACATGTTCAGTGAAAGCTGATGAGGATGTTCTTTTTTGCATCTATGTTATCTATTCTCTAGTTGATGCAGCACAAGCTGGCTCAGGAAGCCTTGAGATCATGGTGAATGGCGGCCATGTTAACTGTGATGTCACAGAAACAGGGAAGCAGACATTCCGAGGGAAATTTATTCCAGAGAAACCTATCACTCACACAGTTGAAATGCGCTTCAATGATCAGCCAGTTCCAGGTAAAATATAAGCATCCCAAGCATTTTTCAGTTGATATTGCTATATATATATTTATTTATTTATTAATTAATTAAAATCTTTCACATATAAACTATAACCATTGAGATCTTATTTTAACTGTAATATCACAGGAAGCCCATGGCAGATCCTAGTTGAGGAGGAAGACATCAGCAGGATTCGTGCTTATGGAGAAGGCCTGACCAATGTCCGCATGCACCAGTCGTCTGCGTTTGAGGTGGACACTGGTGGACTGAATAGCTCCAAGATCACTGCCAATCTGCGTGGTTAGTTTTAGCATATAGTTTAATCTGTCTTGTTAGTTTAGTGTTTGATAGAGTGAACAATGATCACAAGTGTGTAAATTTAGTATAACAAATGTGTTTGATTTTACATTTTAGCACCAAGCGGTCAAACTTTTCCATGTCGTGTAGATGAAACAGGACATGGCCAGTTTAAAGTGAACTTTGTCGTGACCGAAACAGGTATCATAATAAGAAGAAATAATCATCATAAATAAGAATTACATATGTATTCTGTTATGAAGCTGTACATGTGTTTACCTAGTGTAATTTGATCGAATTGAATTTGAGTTATTAGCAATGGTAATAATCCCCATTATTTTTTGTCATCCCTTGTCTTAATCCTGGTGGGAGTGCTCATCAAAATAATCAGTAACTCTGCTTATATTGACCATTACCCTTACTACCCCATCACTCTTACGGATCATTTCTCCTCAGGCACTCATTATCTCGACGTGAAGTATGGGGAGCGGCACATCAAGGGAAGTCCTTTCACAATCAGGGCCTCCAATCCTGCCCTCATCAAGGTCGAGCTTCCAGATAAGCTCACCGGATTCGTCGGCACTCCCATCTACTTCAATGGTGTGTATTATCATGATTCTAACTGCAAAACACTATTGAATTAATCAGCTTTTTTCTCCATGAAAAAGACTCTCATCAGTATATGTATATGTATTTGAATTATATGCAATAAAGATTTAATAATAATAGTAATCATGATACTGCTCTGTTTACCAAACTCCTAACTTTGCATCGATTGCATTTACTTTCACCCCATGTTATAAGACATTGACTAAACATTATAAGTTCACTTCCGTCCCCTGATAGGTTAGTTCTAGTTACACAAGTTGTTACATTTGTGCAACTCATCATGTGAGCAGTCAGTTTGTGTGTCAAGTTGTAAATGCGTGTATATATTTGTTTGCAGATATAAACCCATCTAATACATATTTAACATAAAAAAATCACAATGGAACCCAAATGCTTAAATGCCTACAAAAAATGCTTAAAATTAAATAGCTGCATTGAGACAACTTGATCGCGCTAGAACGACATCGGAATGCTTTTGTTCGCGGTACCGCGGTTTACCGCTGACAGGTTGCGCCGGTAAATCGACCAGTCGACTCAAACGGTGACGTTGCCTCGTTTCAGTCGATGCGTCGAAAGCCGGCTCGGGGAACCTCGAGATCATGGTGAACGGAGGGCACGTGTTCTGCGACGTTCAGAACCTTGGCAACCAGAGGTTCCGTGCGTCGTTCACTCCGTCCGAGTCTGGATTACACAACCTCGAGATGAAATTCAACGACGAAGCGCTGAGAGGTGAGCCCGCCCACGTGGTGGCAGCACCGTAGCCACGTCGCGCAGAGACCTGGCGCTCTCCGTTGTCAGGAACAAAATTGCTCGTGAACATTAGACTAGCAATTTTTTTCTTAGGCCGTTGATAGAAACGTGGTAAACTTACGAGAATGAAATATCCTAGCATCTTCTTCTCGTAGCTTTCTTAAACAAAATTCTGTCAATGGTCTACAAGGAAAAGTTAATATTAAGACTAATGTCAAGACTAATTTTGTTTCTGAAAATGGGCTCCGGTCTCTGTGGTAATTGAGAACACACCGCTAGCAATAGACATCAAAATTTACGCACTGATAAACGTCACAGATAAATAGCGAAAACATTGATACCAAAATCTGATGTAGAAAGCACTCCAGTAGAGATATTTTTGTGATGTTTATCTAATGTGTATATCAGTGTGTACACTTTGATATTTACTTTGAGTATTGCTTTCTTAATTACCACAAATGACTGCCAAATGTGTGTGTGCTCTGGCTCTGATTAATAAAGAAAGTAGTGTAGTAGGTCGGCAGGTTTCTATGCCAAAATGCGCACCATCAGCTTCCATTAATTCCTTTAACTTCCATTACCAGCACTACTGTAATATTGTCTCACACATATCTTCTTTAGTTAACTGCTCTCTCTCTCTTGTGAAAAATTAACCATGGCTTCCACATTTCGAGGCATACGAGGAACGATCTTCTGACTAAACGTGAGATGTTTCGTTTCCAGGTAGCCCATGGCCGTTCAACATTGTCGATCCCTCGAAGATCAAGGTGTACGGCGACGGTCTTCGCAACGTCGGCGTTAACAGAATGACGTCGTTCGAGATAGACAGCCAGGGAGCAGACATTGACGAGCTCGACGCTCATCTGCTCTGTGAGTTGAATTACTTATATGATATATTGATTTATTGATATATTGATTATTGAGTTTATTTGATTGTATTAATTGTTAGGTGCATTATACGTAGCAGCGTTTACTTCGTCTGTCCCCTGAAACCTTACCCCGTAGTGTTACCCCCAGGTCTCCTGATTGAGCCACAGCTGCATTATACACAACAGTGTTTACTACGTCTGTCCCCTG